GGTACTGGCAGGTACCGCTAGATGAATCTGCCAAGGAAAGATTCACCACACATCTTCACCACACATCTCGGGCTGTATGAATTTAATGTACTCCCTTTCGGGCTGCGAAATGCACCCACCACCTTCCAAAGACTTGTAGATGGTCTCCTAGCGGGATTAGGAGAATATGCAGTCGCCTACCTTGACGATGTGGCCATATTTTCGGATTCCTGGGCAGACCACCTGGAACATCTACAAAAAATCCTTGAGCGCATAAGGAAGGCAGGACTAGCTATTAAGGCTAAGAAGTGTCAAGTAGGCCTAAACAGAGTGACTTACCTTGGACACCAGGCGGGTCAAGGAACTATCAGCCCCCTACAGGCCAAAGTGGATGCTATGCAAAAGTGGCCTGTCCCAAAGTCAAAGAAACAGGTTCAATCCTTCTTAGGCTTGGCCGGTTATTACAGACGATTTGTACCGCAATACAGCCAAATCGCCGCCCCACTGACAGACCTAACCAAAAAGAAACAGCCAAATGCCGTTCAGTGGACCGAAAAGTGTCAGAAGGCCTTTAACAAGCTTAAAGCGACACTCATGTCTGACCCTGTACTAAGGGCCCCAGACTTTGACAAACCATTCCTAGTAACCACAGATGCGTCCGAGCGTGGTGTGGGAGCAGTTTTAATGCAGAAAGGCCCTGATCAAGAATTCCACCCTGTAGTGTTTCTCAGCAAAAAACTGTCTGAGAGGGAAAGCAACTGGTCAGTCAGTGAAAAAGAATGTTATGCCATTGTCTACGCTCTGGAAAAGCTACGCCCATATGTTTGGGGATGGCGTTTCTACCTGCAAACCGACCATGCTGCCCTGAAGTGGCTTCACACTGTCAAAGAAAATAACAAAAAACTTCTTTGGTGGAGTTTAGCTCTCCAAGATTTTGATTTCGACATCCAAGACATCTCAGGAGCTTCTAACAAAGTGGCTGATGCACTCTCCCATGAAAGTTTCCCAGAATCAACTGGTTAAAATCGTCCTTGAGATGTGGAAAATATTTTTAGTCTTTATGTACTTGGTAGTATATTTAGAGATGCATGTATCTTATTAACTCTGTTTTTCCTAGAGCTCCAGGAAGAAATCCCAGCCAGTGTTTCACCCTAGCTGAGATTTGGGGGGCATGTCATAAATGTAAAGGGAAGGGGAAACCCCTTTAAAATCCCTCTTGGCCAGAGGAAAACTCCTCTCACCTGTAAAGGGTTAAGAAGCTAAAGGTAACCTCGCTGGCACCTGACCAAAATGACCAATGAGGAGACGAGATACTTTCAAAAGCTGGGAGGAGGGAGAGAAACAAAGGTCTGTGTCTGTTGGTATACTGCTTTGCCGGGGATAGAACAGGAATGGAGTCTTAGAACTTTTAGTAAGTAATCTAGCTAGGTATGTGTTAGATTATGATTTCTTTAAATGGCTGAGAAAAGAATTGTGCTGAATAGAATGACTATTTCTGTCTGTGTGTCTTTTTTGTAACTTAAGGTTTTGCCTAGAGGGATTCTCTGTGTTTTGAATCTAATTACCCTGTAAGGTATCTACCATCTTGATTTTACAGGGGTGATTCCTTTACTTCTGTCTGCTCAAATAAATTGGTTAGTCTCTAAGGTGCCACAAGGACTCCTTTTCTTATTACTTAAAAATGCCCACATGGCAGAAAACTGACTGCCAGGATAAGAAAAGCCAGGGATCTCCAACTGAAGCTCCTCATGATGGAGAAATCTGTCAGACCAGCCTCCAACCCCAAGTCCAGGTGCCCTGGCCAACGGTCAGCAGCCTCTGACAGGGCTGTGCTCCAACAACGGCTGCCAAGAAGCCTGCTCCTAGAAAGGCTGCAAAAAAATGGTCGCAGACATCCCTGCACTGAGAGATGCCCAAAAGAAAGCGATCTCCTGCTGAAAGATCTCCCCTGGTACCGAGAGCGCTGGACTGTGAGGCACCAGGAACGTACAGTACCGAGAGTTCCCAATGAGCTAAAGACCCTATGCGGGCAAGCTCTAATGGAGGTTCACATACTAAGTGAAACCTTCCGACTTGGCACACAGGTAGCTAAAGATCTTGGCACCAAGCGGTACAGTGGTGCGTCCTGCTCTACCTATTCTGCTCAGTAATCTGTGTGCTCTCAGTAACCCCCTGCCGATACCCAAGCAAGTGTAGGAGGAATCCATCTGGTTCAAATGCAGTGGGGGCAAGCGCTGGAATACAATAGTTGGGACAAGGTGTGTCTGGGAGAGGTGGTGGAGACTGGGATTGTCATGTCCAGGAGACTGGGAGTGGGACCTAATGGGAGATGGAGGGAGGTGAGGGGGAGAGAGAGATCTGACAAGGTGCCAGGTTATAGGGAAGAAGATAACTGGGACTGGCTGGGCAAAGAGAAAAAAATTCTGCAGGAGGTGAGGACACAGATTGGATGGGAAGCCATGGAATGGTGACTGGGCGCTGGTGGCAACTGGAGGAGACAGGCAGATCAGGGAGTTGGGGAGGGAACTGGGATTAGCAGGCCAAGGGGATTTGGGGACTAGAAATGATTGGGCAAGGAGATGGGGAGTCTACAGGAGTGTGACTAAGGCTATGTATCACTGTAAGGTAGGTAGCTTCTCTTTGTCAGCAAAAAGGAGCTCTCCTGCTGACAAAATACCTCCCCCCCCACACACACGGCGGTAGGTTTGTTGGTGGGAGAGTGTCTCCTGCTGACAAAGGGCTGTCCATACCGGCACTTCTTGTCATTAAAATTTTTGTTGGTCAGGAGGTGTTTTTTTTCACACCCCTTACTGACAAAAGTTTTAATGACAAAAGTGCAGTGTAGACATAAGACACTGGTCAAGGAGCCTGGGATTGGAATCAGAAACAACAGTACTGTGAAAGGGACAGGTGGGAGGGGAGAGGGCAGAATTGATCAAGCTTGGAGGTAATGGGCAGAAAAGTCTGCCAAATAGAGAACACTTCCCTCCAGAGTTTGGAATGAAACCCAAGATCACACTGCCTCACCATTCCTCTGCTGTGAGCAAATCTCTGAAACCCACTGTCAAAGTGTCCCCATTCCCCTCTAGTGCTGTCCCAGTTGGGGATGACAACCTACTATTCCTATCCATTACTCCATTAGCTACAGTAGCAGAGTTCTGTGTGGACCAAAAGGATCCAACCTGGCTGATGAACCACGTAGGTGTGAATATGATGCCACTTGATGGACTTTTTTTTAAGTTTGCTTTTTAAAAAACTTTGGAAATTACACAGAAATTGCATTAAAAGAACATTTAAAATGCAGAGTCAAACACTCAAAAGTTAAGAAATGCCAGAATTAAGGTTGCCTGTACAACCTTAATTTGATCCTCTTGTGTGACTGTATTATGACACAGTCTTTAATTACATGATTATGTACTGTTTTCCCTAGGGCCCCTGCTTCATTCAGTGCACACGATGAATGGTGCTTAATTAATGAGCAGCTATTAATATGTTGTTTTCTTTGTGTTCAGTGTGTGGTCCTAGGCCTGATTTACTGCAGACTATACAAACACTGACAACAGAATTATTAATTTCTTCAAGTGCTTTTCTGTGGTGCTCATCATTTATAGCATCCGAGTCTGCACCAACATTAAAGAAATTATTGTCAGAATACCCCGGTGAGGTGGTGGTATCCCCTTTTTACAGAAGAACTGAGGCACAGAGAAACTGAGAACAAAAGTATCCTTTAATTTTGGGTGCCCAGTTTGAGACTTAGGATTGGATTTTTCAGAATATTTAGCATTATATAGCACAGCTCAACATCAGTTGCATGTGTGAGTGCTCTCTCTCCCCTCCCTCCCCCCCCAAGTCAGGCATCCAGAAAATGAGGAACACAATTAGTGATCACCTCTGAACAGTTTAGTTTAAATGACTTGACTAGCATCATATAGGAACTCTGACACAGGCAGGGATATGATCCAATTCTGTACGGCAGTTTTCATCTGCCTTATCTATGAAACTGTTCTTTCACTTTTGGTAGTCCCTTGTATCATTCACGACACACATTCCAACTCTGCAGCAAGTGAGACAGGAGTCCTACAGGCAGACTGCTTCACTACGCAATCTTGATTTATCCCCAGGCAGCTCCATTCTGTGCATTGCATGAGGCAGAAGTGGAAAGGTGTGCAATTAGAAATAAGGTACTAATCTTTAACCATGAGGGTGATTAACCATTGGAACAAACTACCAAGGGAAGTGGTGGATGCTTTTGAAGTCTTCAGATCAAGACTGAATGTAGACACAAGCTATTGGGCTCATGGCAGGGATAACTGGGAAATTCTGTGACCTGTGCTATACATGAGGTTCCTTCTGACCGTAAAATCTATGCAAGTAATAAAGCCCTGTTTCTTCTCCCTATGTTCAAACACACCCATTGCCTTTTCCTTTCCCTTCTGGTTCACACTTATCTTCCTGCTACATTTGAGATATTCCCAACATTTCTTATATCCCCGGTTATCTCCTCTTTGGTAAACATGGAGGGAGGTATTTTGGCTTTGCAGAGGGCAAGCTCCTTTTCTTTCAAGGCTGCCCTCTTCCTTCCTGCTGGCAGCTGTTCTATATAGCCTGGGTGGACTATGAATTAAACAATGGGAAACCTTATTGCGAACTAAGGGGATGTCTGCATGCAGAACCTCAGTATGTACTTTCTGTTCACACCTTTAGTTAATTCAATTTACATGTTCCTGTGTACCTGTTCACTAAGAAAATGTACAGGATCTACTCTGGGTGAAACACTGCCCCCAGTCATAAGTGATTATCATTGTCTAGTGAACCATTTTGTTGTCGCGAAAGTCATCATCCCATAAAGAATGTGTATGTGAAAGAGCTTTAAATCAGAAGCTAAAATATTTTTTTCTCCTTCCTATGTCACATCCTGTTTTTTTTTACTAAGCATTAGTTTTTGGTAGACTATTAAATGATTACATTTCACTTCACTTACAAGCATTGTTTTCTAATGTATTATCTGCTTTCCTTAATAGGAGGCATGGCTTCGAATGAATTACCTTGTTGATTTCAAGCATCACTTCATGCGTCATTTTCCTTATTCTTTACAAGAAACAATTAAGCACAAAAAGAGAGATCCATACAAAAGGTATGAGTAAAACAGGTGTCACTTTACGTCTTTTTCTTTCATGAATAAGTGAGACCACATGTATGAATGAGATACACAGCCTAGTATTAATCTTTCAGCATAGCAAAAAAAGGGAAAAAATACTTTGGGTGGGTTTTTTTCTTTAAGAGATGTGGAGAGGTATTTAGATGGTGATTAGGTTGCTCTTAATTGATACATTTATAAAGAGTCTAAGATAATTTCTCATATGAAACTAGATCTGGATGTTATTATTTCAGAGAAACTAAAATGCAGAATCTTAGAAGTATAAGTATTCACTTGCATTTATTAGACAATTGGGTTCTCAATTTGTGGCCTGCAGAGCACTTGCTGCTGGATTCTCTAGGTGTGTTTGTTCTACTGGTTTTGGGTATCCTGTTTCCTGCTGTTAAATTGCATTGAAAACCAACTAAAATACATTTATTTTCCGTGTAGTTATGGTAGGGTGTTGGATGAATGTGAACGGAAGGTCCATAATATCTCTATTAAGATATGGTCCATGTTTCAAGAAAGTGTGAGAGCCCTGTATTAGATAATGGATCGGTTTATGCATTATATCTTAGTAGTAGTAAACAAAAATCTGTGATCTGGAGTGTATTTGGGCCCTAAGTGGCTGAGTAATGATATAAGGGAGAGTAAAGAGACTTCTCTCTCCAAGCCAGGGTTGATCAGAAGCTGTCTTCCCCTATCTGTGCCTTGGCAGCACAACTGAGCCAGTTTGGTGGAAATAATAATCTGTTGCTTGGAAGGGCCAATAGCAGATTGCTTCCCTTCCCCACCCCCAGGCAAATACTGAAGGATTTGTGGCTTTCTGTGAGGCCGTGTATAATAGCATGCCCTCACCTCAAGAGCACCCCATTATGCCAGGGCATGTTGTTGCAAGGGATCCTCATCTCTGGTACCTCCTTGCAGCTTCTTCTTCAGCTCTGTAATGGAACATCTCTTGTCAGTATCTTCTCCTAATTGTCTCTATCTAGGTGCTTTGTGGCCAGATGACATAAAAATGCAATCCCCTTCCAGGGTCAATCTATAAATCCAAACGTCTTCCAACTAATAATTCTTCTGTGCCTCTTGGGCTACACTTTTGTCCCCTACTCCTGGGTGCTGCAGAGCTTCTCCTGTGATACTTTCTCCTAGCAGGTTTTTCCACAGGGCCTCTAGGGGTATGTCTGCACAACATCTTGAACCGAGCCTCCCAGCCCAGGTTGACAGACTTGGGCTAGTGGGGCTTGTGCTAGTGCTCTAGAAATAGCTGTATAGACAATGATTTTAAGTTGTGGCTTGCATGCTGAAGCCCCATGGGGTTTACACTGGTGCAGCCACGCTGATAGTTGAAATTCCATTGTAGGCTGTATCTGAATTACAGTTTCTCTGGGCTCCTCAACGGGTGGTGTGTAGCCTACAGGCACAATTTAGCCCTACATCAGGAAATCGTTATGCTTGAAAGTGTGCATCAGTGGAGTCTACATAAAAACCAGCAAGTGTTGTTAGAATTTCAATTCCTACTTCAGCTCCCCTCAAAAACTGTAAAATTCTGAAAATGAACATTAAAGGAATGCATGCATCATTCGTGTCCTATATATTCCTTCTTCATAACTCCATGCAAGTTACACCTCATCACCATATCTCTAAACTATGCCCCATCCTACCTCTAAGCTATAAGGCTATTTTGTTGGGTCAGTATAGAATCAATAATATATTTAATTAGACAGGTACCCCCCAAATTTCTGAAAGCAGAGCTCCCTTTCAGGAAAATAAGACCCGTCACGCCTCTCCACCCCAAATCTCCACTGTGTATAATTAAGGTCCATGCATCTTAATTTACAGATCTTCCATAAATTACACTCTCTTGGCTAGTTCTTTTAGCCACTTCTCTCCTTTTGGGAAATGCTGCTGTAGATATTCAGGTTATTATACTACTACTACTTTCCTGCATGCTTTGAGCAGTTACATTAAATCTTAACTATGTATCATCATTGGCTTCTGAGTTAGCACTCACTGAAATGAATAGGTCAGTTCTCAAATGAGGCAGTTCACACTTGAGAGCTGTTGTTTATCTTTGCAAACTCTAGCAGACCTCTTTGAATTGATCACCTTCCACATTTGGAAGGGTTTATTTTTTTGAACCGTACAAACTAAAGACTAATTTTTTGTTTTTAATTTAAGCTATTACTCTGAAGGACAAATTAAGTCTGTCTGTAAGGCCCCAAACCCTGGTGCCTCACTCTTAAGGAAAGACAGAATTAGACCTAAAGACTTCAAAGCTAATTTGGTCTCAACATGTGTTAGCAAATACGAGAGCTCCATACATGTTCTGTTGGTATAATACATTGATGGAGTGTTAAAACGTCTTTATGAAATAAAATAAAATAAAAATGCTATCTTTTTGGGTGGTAGAATGTGTTAAATATATGGTGTTTGACATATATGGAAGTATATGTAGGCTTTGCTGATTGATAAAATTACTTTTAAATTTAGCAATTTACAGATTTACCAACTAACATTTTGTACTGCTTTAAAAAAAAAAAAAGAAAAAAAGGAGTGACATTCACTCTTAGTTATAGCACACTGGAAACTTCTAAATTGTGTTAGGCTAATAGTCTCTGGAATGGAGGGGTGAGCATGGAAAGGAGTCATAATTATACTCCTGCCCTTCCTGGGACTGTTGTATAATCTTGTGAGCTCAGTGGAGGTGTTGGGTGCTTATCATGTTTAAAAATCAGGTCACTTATTTATGTATTTAACCATAGATTTAGGAGCCTTCGTGAGGCTCCTATTTTTAAAAGTTTTGCTTTAAACCTGTAGTGCTTAGAAGAAATTTTTTCTATATTACGATAACTTTGTGAAACATTAATACATTAAAAACTGCATTCATTTTTCATAAATATCGGTATATGTATTTTACTTAGCACCAAGTACTGTATGACATCGTCAAACAGCGTAGACCATCTTTTATTGAATTTAACCCTGTGTGACATTATGGTTTCACTGGCAAGTGCTTCAACACTTCAAATGGATTCTGACTGGCTGGGTATGATAAGAAAGTTTGTGACCGAAACCCTTCAGCATGGCTGCAGATTGAACTGCAAGCAGTTGAACAGATTGCTTGGAGTGACATGGAGACTAATGCAAATACAACGAAACAAAGGTAAGAGTAGTTAGCAGGTAGTTGTCTTTAAAAAACAAATATATCCTATGCACAGCAAATGTTCTGTGTCTCTGATTAACTTCTACAGTCTAAGGTGGATGGGGTACAAAGTTAAGAATGTCCTAAAATGTTCTGTAGTGTGTACTGTCCACAAAGTAGTAATATTTCACTGTATACATCCCCTACTTCACAGGGCACTGAGAATTGCTGATTAAAGAGTTTTGTAAAGCACTTTTAGATTCTTGGATTAAACATACTCTAAAAGTGAAAAGCAATAGGAGTAGTATATTTGTGTATTTGTACCCATTTTCTCTTACCTTTAAGTAAAAAAAAAGAAGAGGAGGAAAAAGAGATCACTTTAATGAATAAGGGAATTCATTTACATCTGCATCTTATTGATCACAGTTAATCAGTATTTCTTGAGGCCATTTCAATGTTCCATTCTGTGTTTAAAATCATTTTCATGGTTTGTAGATGTGCCTTTGTAATAAGAAGGCTGTCATACTGCTATAATGACATGGAATGATAAGCTTGCATTGATGAAAACCTGTGTCAAGTAACACTTTATTTCCCAGTGTTTCATTAATTTTCCTTTCCAAGAGAAGGCGCACATCTGTCACTTCTAGGTCCAATGCAGAATGCCTCTCTTTCAGCTGCTTTTTCTTGATTGTGATACAGGTGAAATATTGCTGGCCCTTATGCTGCTCGATTTTTGATGGAGGACTTATTCAGGCTGTGTCAACACTTAGGGCTTGTCCACACTACTACTTTTGTCACTATAACTTATATCACTCTGGGGCGTGAAAAAAACATCCCCCTGAAGAACATAATTTACACTAACAGAAGTGCTGGTGGGGACAGCGCTATGTCAGTGGGAGAGTGTCTCCTGCCGACGTAGCTACTGCCGCTTGTGGAGCTGGTTTTATTATGTTGACTGGAGAGTTTTCTCCCTTTGGCACAGAGTGGCTACATGAGTGATTTTACAGAGGCGCACCAGCATCAGTACAGCTGTGCTGCTGTAAGCTCGCTAGTGTAGACATTGCGTTAAAATGCTACAGCAGCACACTTCCACTGGAGTGTGGTGTAGAATGAGAGGTGATCTGTGAAATAGCATGAATACTTTATCCATTAAAGGCTTTACAGATAAGGACCAAGTTCTAGAAGTAGATCTGGATTCATATAGGGATTCACAGTAGTGTGTGGTGTACCAGGGTTGGGCTGTGTGTGTGGAACTAGCTGTGTCCAGATGGAGCATGTTGTAACAGTGTCTGGATCCGACATGGGTAGGTCTTCTGCATCTGAATGAAAAGGGTGAAATCTGTTGATCCTGGACAATCAAAGATCAAGGAAAGAAGGAATTAATGGCCAATGCAGGTATTTGAATGTCTTTTAACAGTAATGAGTCCAATAGGACCCAGAGACTGAAACCAACTTTACAACTAGAGGGCTGATGCCTTGATTAGAGTGTGAGGTGGTAGCTTCTACCTGCTTTTCAAATGCTCTCCCATTCCTAATAGTCACACCTTCTTAGCATTCAAATAGATTATCTGTGTTTTTCAGTATTCATTCATTTTCATTCTTGTATTATTTTTCATTGTGAAATTCTTTAATACTTTAAAAACGTATATGTTATGTGGGTTTCAGGTAGTTCCTTATCTAGCATTGTAATTTTAATTGTCTGAGGAATTTTACACTGCAAGCATTATTTCAAGATTTGTCTGTGAAGGCTCATTGTACATCCTGCAGAAATTGATTCCAAAATGGTTTACTCCCAGGATTTGGATTTTACATAGAAATGGGTATTTTAAAATATTTTACTAGCTCCTCTATAGATATTCTTAATGTAATGAGAAGATAAAAAGCGCTTCTAAATTTCACATTTTTAATGTTTTTTCTTTCTAGTGGCAATGGAGACTTTGATAAAAGCAGTATATACACTGTACCAGCAGAGGAATCTCCTCTTTCCTGTTCGTATGTTGCTTTTGAAATTTTTTAGCAGGGTTTATCAGAAAGAAGAGTTGAGTGCTCAAAGAATCAGGTAAAGATTTTTTCTTTATTTTTAAAATTTTTAACCTTGCAGATTTAGTCTCAAAGTTTAGGCCATGAACTTCCACAGTAGAACAAAGCTTGTTGATACAGAATAAAAGCTCATTGGGGAAAGCTCAGATGATGTGTCCCTTTGCTCCATTTTTCACAATTTCTTCCCCACTGCCAGAATTGTTTTGGAGAATTTGGCCAATCTGTGCTCAAATATAATTTATTACCTAATTTCTATTTCCAGTAAATTTAAGCATGTGTAAAATTTTAAATAGTTAATTATCCCAGTTCATTCATTAAGCAGAGGTTTTTAATTTCTTTTTTGCCTTGAAATTCCACACATGACTACTTTTTAAAACATTTTAATGTGTGGCAAAGATGGAGATTTGCAGAAATAGATACATTAGAAAATTAGATCGTTTACATTTAGCTTGGTAAAGAATTAAACTGAACTACAATAGAACCTCAGAGTTACGAACCCCTTGGGAGTGGAGGTTGTTTGTAACTCTGAAATGTTTGTAACTGAACAAAATGACATGGTGGTTGTTGTAAAAGTTTACAACTGAACGTTAACTTAATACTTCTTTGAAGAAGAAAATGCTGCTTTTAACCATCTTAATTGAAATGAAACAAGCACAGAAACAGTTCTTTCTTCATCAAATCTTTTTTTAAACTATCCCTTTATTTTTTTTTTTAGTAGTTTACGTTTAACACAGTACTACTGTGTTGCTTTTTTTTATATTTTTTATTTTTGGGGGGTGTGGGCTCTTCTGCTGCCTGATTGCATACTTCCAATTATAAATGAGGTGTGTGATCTGTTCGTAGCTCAGCAACTGTATGTAAATTGTTGCTGATGTGACATCTAGGATTGCAGTTTTTTCTCCTTTTTTAGTAGGGATAAAATGTGAGTTCTGTGAGAAAGACCTCTCTGTACATCCAACATGTTTGGAAATGTGGACACCCATATTGTTTTTGCTCTAGTACCTTCACAGAGCTCCCTTTTATTTCTGAATATTTGGCCCTGAGTTTGTAAAAGACAACATCCAATTTCTTTCCTGTATCTATGGTGCAGAAACTTTTTTTACTACACGTCTACATTTCACTAGCTGCTAGCAGTGTTGATTAGTATACTTCGGATATCTTATTCCCAGAAATAATTATTTTTAATGTTCAGCCTTTTTATATTATCACACTTGTGTGATTCCACCGCAGCCCAGTTAACAGCTGTGGAGTTTTCCAGAGCTGCTCTTGGTACTTATTTAAAAAGTAATGGAACTTTGTACAGATTGTAAGCATTTTGGAGTAGGGACTGTCTTTTTTGTAATGTGTGCGCGTAATCTTGCACAATGGGGCCCTGATCCCGGTTGGGGTCCTCTAGGCACTACTGTAATAGAAATAATAGAATAATGATAAAAGTTGTAGTAATAACTTGCTCTAGCTCAATAGTGGCTGAGCACTGTGCCTTTACTCATTCTATCTGTGGATGCTGAGATGGTCTAGTAAGACAAAATATGGGAGTTTATATTCTGTGCCCCATGTAAAGCAAAGAAGTCAGGAAACAGATGAAGGTGCCCTGTTGTCTGGGATACTTAAGGAAAGGTCACTCCCTGAGAAGATGCTCTGTCTCCAATGTACTTACTATATCTGTCAAAACCAAGAAGTTACTGCTTATACAGAAGGCACTCAAACTGATTTTCAGGATTTGTGTCCCTCTGGTTCCTGGCGGATTCCAGAGATCCCATTTAAATCTGGGAGATCTTTGAGCCAAACTACTTGGATCCAAGTCCTCAGATTTGCATGGTTCCTCGTCTTCTGAGACTTCAGGCACTTTATCCAGTGCCTTCAAGAGGAGAGAGTAGGAGTGCTCAGGCTAAGGGGTGTCAGATAACTAGTCCGTTGTGTGTTCTAGGGCAGACTGTTGCCTCAGTTCCTGAGACCTCCAGGTACTGCACTCTTGGTAACGGAATGCTCCTCGGACATGGAGGGGAAGAGGATAGTTCCTGACAATTCACCTACAATTCTACTTGTTGGTTCTATCCAGTCTCTGATCCTCCACTCAAACAGGAATATAATGCCTCTTCTGCAATGACTTCATCATGATCCCTTCTTAGAACAGTCATGTGTTCTCTGTAGTAAGCCTGATGCACATTCTCTGGCAAGTACTCTGGTTGCAGCGGACCGGAAATAATACATCCCTTTTCAATCAGGCAAATTGAAAAGGGATGTATTATAGAATTAAATATGAAAATATACAATACACTCAATATGGTGTTCCATGTTATTAAATTAAATTTTAATTATGCTTGCATTTTCAATATGTCGCAGATTTTTATATTGATGTATAATTACTTTGTAGCACTGGTATTTCTTTAGGGGATATTTGAGGATTTAGGCTTCCAAGGAGGTGGTTTGAGATTGTGGAGTATGCACATTAGTTGGATGCCTTTGCTCTGTATAATGAAATGGATTATCTGGATGTCTCTAGTATTCCAGGAAATAATTGACAGTTTACATAGCAAAAGTTTTGTTTCGCAATAAGCCGTCCCTTGCTGTGAGTTGGAACTTCTTCAAGTGGTCCCTGCACGTTCCCACTCCTGGGATGTGCAGTAATGCAGCTCTACTCTCATAGCAGTGCCTGTTGGAGTGCTCTCGCATCTCCTCTTGGCCCTTCTCTTACTGCTACTGAATATTCTGAAGGTGAGGCTATGAGAGGGATTGTGATGTTTCAGCCACCTCAGTTTTTTCTGTCAGTGGTTGCAGACAGACCAGAAATCTCACTAGTTTCTTCCAACCAGGATCTTTGAATCAAGACTCTCATGTTGTTAGCTAGCTTTCAGTTGGTGTCAGATTAGTCTTTTAAATTTTATCTTTTAAAAAGTTATTTATTTATTTATTTAGTTCATTTTAGTCCATTCCCAACCTGCAGCACTGATCTGTGCATCTTCAAGGAAAAAGGTGTTTGCCTTGGGGAAGGTTATTCTCTGTTTCTCTGAACCATATGCAACACCTTGACCCGAAGGGCTCATAAGGAGCATCAAAACTGGCTCCAAGCTTGCCTTCTCCATGATGCCTTTGCAACCAAGTCCTCTGATTTAGAATCCTTAGGATCTGTAAGTACAGATAGGTCTCCTTCAGGGACTAAAGAGCAGCATAAGACCCCTTCCAAGATCTCCGCTACCAGGGTAGAATCTAATATTCTGGTACTGAAGGTTTTGCAACCATTGGAGTTGGCTGTCTAACAAGATGAGCCGTCTCAGATGTTGACCTCCATTAACAGAGCCAGTCTTCAGGAATGTAATCCTTTGTATCAGACACCTCTGGTTCCAAGCAAAGAAATGGCACAAATATTGACCTCTGTTAGCAGAGCCAATCTGTGTCATGGGACCCCTCAGATACCATAGCCTCTATTCCAAGTGCATCTTTGTGATGGGTTGGATCACAAACCCCCTGGGCTTTGGAAACTGATGTGCCAAGACTACTTCTGCTCCTGCTTTCCTGCCCTGTCAGCTTAGGACTTTAGTGCCCTGCCTGGTTTGAGCCAGACCTGCTAGCCTGCTGCAAACCCAGACCCAGGTCTGAACTACATCCCCTAACAGCTGTACGCTTAACTGAAAGCAGCTTACAGAAGTGTTCCTCTCTTGAACACTCAGATGCCCAACTCCCAATGGAGTCCAAACCCTAAATAAATCCAATGTAAGTGGCAAAAGAGCCACAGTAATACATCAGCAGCCCCCCATCCGCTCCCACTCCCAGCGCCTTCTGCCCACCGGCAGCCCCACCGATCAGTGCCTCACCCTCCCTTCCTGCACCTCCCAATCAGCTGTTTTGTGGCATGCAGGAGGCGGTGAGGGTGAGGGGCGAGGGCACGGCAGGTTATGGGGAGGGGTGGGAAGGGGTGGAGTGGGGGCAGAGGCAGGGCCTGTGGCAGAGCCAGGGGTTGAGCAGTGATCACTCCCTGGCACATTGGAAAATTGGCACTTGTAGCTCCAGCTCCGGAGTTGGTCCCTATACAGGTTGGCCACTGCTGACATAAGGTAACTGAAGACTTCAGTTGTAGATGAGATACACTCTCTCTCTAGGGCTATCCAGACATACACTTGTTTGCAACCAGACACAATTCAAAATGCCTGACGTTTTGTTTGAAAGCAGGAGCAGACAACCGGTTCATATCAGATGTTTTTCTGTTCAACTGGATAATAGGTCGTCTTTATGCCTTTCCTTTCCCCCATTTCCTTCAGTTCAGAGTCCAGAAAAAATAGACAGGCTAAAGTGTCAATAACTTTGATTTGCAACAGAATAGGTGAGACAACAACTTCAAGATTTTCTTCATCTATCTAAAGGGACCTTTTGGTTTTTCCCAGTAACCACTTACCCAACAGAATGGTCTTTATCACTCAAACATGTGCTGTCTGCATTTGACAGCATGGCCATCGAACTCTGACAGACATTAAGTCTTGCTTTCTTGAAATTCAGCATGTCCCAATAAATTCTAGCAAACAGTCAAATCACCACCCTTCTGTGACTTCAGATGGAAGAGATTTTTAATCTAGGACAATAATAACATAGTTCCAGAAACATCATCTATTTACTCCATACTTGAATACCTACTTCAGTTAAAGCTATTGGGACTTTATATTGTCTGGGAACGTCCACTTAGCCATTTTGGTGCATCATGCATTAATTGATAAGACAGTATTCACGCATGATATAGTTAAGAGGTTCATGAAGGGATGAGTAAACGTTTATCGTCCAGTCTGAGTAATCTCTGATATGGGATCTCAACCTAGTACTTACTCAGTTTGTGACCACGCCCCCCCTTTGAACCTATGAGGGAATGTTCCTTATTTCACCTTTCTGTCAAAACAGCCTTCATTATACTAATCACATCTTCTAGAATAATAAGCAAATTACAGGACCCATGGCTGACTAATTGTTTACTGTCACCCACAATGACAAAGCAGTCTTCCATCTCATCCTAAATTCCTTCCCAAAGTGGTAAGAGTTCTGCCTCATCAGTCTGTTAACTAACTGGTATTCTAAAATAAACGTGCTAACAATAAACTTGCATACATCATTTAATAAAACATACATTCAGCCTTTCCCTCTTTAGGGGTGGATCTGGTAATGATGACAGTGTTTCGGATCTCTGGGGTAGATCGGTGTAGACTCTGAAGCACAGATCTGTGGCCTGGATGTGGTTCTGCAGTGAATTCACAAACTGTAGAATGATCATATACACGTGACCCTCCATATGGCTGAATGGGATGGATAGGTTCCAGAAGCAGAGGTTTGAGGTGCCTCTCAGAGATCAGGGGACCTGTTGAGTGAACTTCATGCTCCTACTCAGGTAGCATTGAGTTTGAGCCTGAGATGTACATGAGTAATTCAAATAATTCTTTCCAGTGTACATCATCTTATATTGTTTATAACACATTTCACTTGCCATTGTGCTGCCCTTTCACGTAGATTTAAGTCCCTCTGAAGTTCCTCTCATTCTTTTCTCCTCTTGACTAACCTCAATAATTTTGTCACCTCACTCTATCATCCTTCCCTTTTCTCTTCCCCTCCTCATCTACGTCTAACATCTCTTTTGACACCTTGCTCTTTGACAATGATGTCTCACTCTTTCACAGTGTTTTTTATTATCTGAAGAGAGCAGGTCTGCAGTAGGTATCTCAACATCTGCAGCTTCACCTCAATGCTCCTTTCCTCTTTAAGTGTTCTCTCTGGTAGTCCAGCAGATTCAGTCTTGCACAGTCTGTCCAAATCTTTAGTCTTTTGCATCTGATGCACATAAATATAATTTCTTCTTTGCCTATTTCTCTTCAAAGTTTTCTTAGCTCTTCTCACTTCCATCTTACTTTTTACTTGCCATACATTGTTCCTTGGGCTGCATTTCTGTTTTCTGGAAGATATCTGTTTTGCTCAAATAAGCTCCTATATCTTACCATTAAACCATTTTTATTGTCTTTGGTGTTTTTTTTTTTTTTTTTAATTTCTGAGTGTCACTTGTGGTATACATTCTGAGTCTGATATTAATTTCCTTTGAGTCTGATATTAATTTGCCTCCCTTAACTAATTTCCCCATTTTAAAAAATAATCCCCTCTTTAAAGTTTGGAATATTACTTGACATTTTTTTTTAGATATGGAGAAAAAGAACTGAGTGCCTTGAGGACCATGCTCCCTGTTATACCCTTAGGTCTAAACTTTTGAAGCCAATCAGAAGCACTCATGCATAAGGCTACATTTTAGTCACGGGTATTTTTAGTAAAAGTCATGGACACGTCACGGGTAGTAAACAAAAATTCAGACCTGTGACCTGTCCATGACTTTTACTAAAAATACCCCTGACTAAAATGGGGGAGGGTGGGGAGAGAGACTCGGGGGGGCACAGCAGGTGCTGGTGAGGGAGGGCTCGGGGTGGGGAAGTCGCGGCCCGGGGGGGCACCATGGGTGCTTGGGGGACGCCGTGGGTGTTGGGGAGGGAGGTGCAGCCCAGGGAAGCACCATGGGTGCTGGGGAAGGGGGCGCGGGTGCTGGGGGGGTGGGGTTGGCGTCGCGGCCAGGGCGGGCATGGGTACAAGGGGGCGGGCTTGGAGAGGCTGGGGCAGGCTCCTTATCCAGTTCTTGGGAAGCGGTGGTCCCAGCTCCCTAGCTCTATGTGCTGATTCCACTCTGCCCCAAGCCCAGTTTCTGCAGCTCCCATTGGCTGGGAACTGGAGCCAATGGGAGCTGCAGGGGCAGTGCCTGGCTGCTGGCAGAGGCAGCAGGTGGAGCTAGGGGAGCTGAGGGAGAGGAATAACCCCTTTCCCCCCACACACAAATAAACAGTAGCTCAAGCCCTGAGCCCCCCTGCACCACACCCTATGGCAGGGGGACCCTGAGACTCACCTTGGGGCTGCTTGAGCTGCTCAGGCGGCTCCTGGGCAAGCCACAATGGGCTGCTGCAGAAGTCTGAGGTCACGGAAAGTCACGGAATCCGTGACAAACACGGAGCCTTACTCATACAGCCTCAAAGGTCACACTTTCGCTCTCCAGCACAGGGGAGGGCAAACTACGGCCCATGTGCCAGTTCCGGCCCATCAGGGCTTTCAGTCTGGCCCACGGGGATTGCGAGCCCCATGGCACAGCGGGGCTAAGGCAAGCGCTCTGCCTGCCCTGGTCCTGCGCTGCTCCTGGAAGCGGCCGGCACCACGTCCCTGCAGCCTTTGAGGTGGGAGCAGAGTGCTCTGTGCACTGCCCTTGCCTGCAGGCACCGCCCCCCGCAGGTCCCATTGGCCGGGAACCACCCCACACCCATGAGCCACTGCCAGACATGCTGGCCACTTCCAGGAGCGGCGTGCGGCCAGGGCAAACAGGGAGCCTGCCTCAGCCCTGCTGCACACCGCTGCCACCCCGGAGCTGCTCGAGGTAAGTGGGGCCACAGCCTGTATCCTGCACCCCAACCACTTGCCCTGAACCCCTTAACCCCCTGCCATGAGCCCCCTGCTGCACCCGTCTTGCACTCCAACCCCTTGCCCTGAGCCCCATCCTGCACACTGCACCTCCTCCCACACCCCGCACTCTCTCCTGCACCCCTTCCCCAGCAGTACATTAATGGCCCTGCATACAATTTCCCCACCCAGATGTGGCCCTTTCGCCAAAAAGTTTGCCTGGACAAGTTCCATCTTTGGGTGTAAATCTGTAGAAGCGATATACTTAAAGAACTGTGTTTACTGTAATTTACTGTGTTTACTGTACCCTGTAATGAACTTTTTCTTGGATGGAGAGATACAGGAGACATATCTGTAACTGTTTAAATACATTGTTGGAAACATGGATAGACTATGTATTTAGTCATAAAAGATAACAAGGCAAGATTAAAACCTTCATGATAAAGTGAGGGAAGTACATGAATTCATGGAAGTTCATTACATAATTCATTCAAAAATATCCTTTAAATAATGGAAATATTGGGAGGATTGAATAATGCAACACACTTGTTTGGAAATATATACTTGCCTAAATATAATCCAACTGCTATGCTTTCTGAAAGGGAGAATAATGCCTCTCTAATCTGTTAAAGTTCTTTAGAAAAAATATAGATAAAGGAGATGTGATGGACATCATTTTTTTTTAAAAAAAAGCTTTTTATAAGGTCTCTGATAAAAATAAACAAGCAACCTTGCTCCTAATTAGGAATATAAACCATGAGATAAGAGAGAAAATCCTGTGGATTAAAGAGTGGGAATGGTTATACGAAATGTCAATCTAGGGTTAAGCAGCAATGGAAAAGGCAAATAGGATGGGTAAGAAACTAAAGGAACATGACATTGTATTGAACTCCCTTCTTTGAAGCATTTTGTCCAGTTTCCTTTTCTCTTAAAATAAATAAATAAATAAATCTGAGATTAAAAAGATAGAGAAGGACAGTGAAGATATGATTAAATATGATATGAGCCAAAAAAAAATAAAATTTTAGTTTGGAAAGTGAAGAGTTACAGGGGACTTTTGGTATTCAGTGTTAAGGATATAGTGAACCCTGAATTGTGTGTACTTTTCCTCTGGCCCATAATATGTTGGGTCATTAAAGGATATTAATAGATGGTAAATTTAGAGCAAACAAAAGGAAATGCTTTTTCACCAGCATATAGTCAATTTGTGAAATTGAGTTCTGAAGGAGGTTGTTAGGTTACATGTTGCATAAACTGTTGGGGCTGTGAGAGAAGTGCGTGTATGATGATTCACTACATACCAACACAATCAGACTCCTAGCTGAAACATTATAAATAGATACTACATTACAGTATTATAAGTATTCTGTATTTATTGTAAACATAAAATAGATTTAAGAATATTTGTATTGAAGAGAAAATAATTTTTCCAACTAACTTTTTCCCCCTTCTTTTAGGAGCCGAAGTAAAGTTTTATCTCGTTGGCTGGCTGGCCTACCTCAGCAGCTTGCTCTCCTTGGTTCAAGAAAGCCTGAGCTTTCAAACCAGTTGATTGAGACCATTCATTCTGCTGCATCTCATTCAAACAAGGAATTGTTACAAAGTTTGCAAGCCACTGCTTCTCGAATTTATGGTAAGACTTTTGTACTAAAACATAATGAATTTTGTCTTGTCACTTGACATGAGAGGGATGGTACAAGGAGTGAAAAATCCTGTGTCTCCTGACTAAAGGCAGAGTACATACATGAAATGGTTATTCATACCCTTAAAATAGAAATTTGCAAAGAAAGTCATGGCTGCAGCAATTTTATTTCCCTCAAAACTGAAGTTTCATTTGAAGCTATCTTTTCTTTTTTTTTTTTAGGCTAGACTGATGGATGAGAACATTTGATATCTAATTTCTGTACAAAGCTGGACTTCGTGATATTCCTTTATTTTATGTTTCTCTCTACTTAGCAGTAGTTTAATGCTTTCTAAAGGCCTTGTTTTTTCAGGTTCTTAACTGAACCATCAGGGTTGTAAGGAGTACGTTCCTAGTAGAGCTGTTGATTAATTGCAGTTAACTCATGTGATTAACTCAAAAAAATTAATTGCGATTAATGGCAGTTTTAATCACACTGTTAAACAATAGAATACCAATGGAAATTTATTATATATTTTTGGATGTTTTTCTCCATTTTCAAATATATTGATTTCAATTACAATACAGAATACAAAATGTACAGTGCTTACTTTATATTATTATGTTTGATTACAAATATTTGCACTGTAAAAATGACAAATAGTATTTTTCAGTTCACCTCATACAAGTATTGTCGTGCAATCCTTTATCATGAAAGTGCAGTTTACAAAAGTAGATTTTTTTTGTTACATAACTACACTTAAAAAACAAAACAATGTAAAACTTTAGAGCCTACAAGTCCACTTAGTCCTACTTCATGTTCAGCCAGTTGCAAAGACAAACAAGTTTGTTTGCATTTACGGGAGATAATGCCGCCCACTTCTAATTTACAGTGTCACCTGAAAGTGAGAACAGGAGTTTGCATAGCAGTTTCGTAGCTGGCATTGCAAGGTATTTACATGCCAGATGTGCTAAAATTTGTATGCCCCTTCATGCTTCGGCCACCATTCCAGATGACATGCTTCCATGCTGTTGACGCTCGTTAAAAAAAATAATGCATTAATTACGTTTGTGACTGAACTCCTTGGGGGAGAATTGTATGTCTGCTCTATTTACCTGCATTCTGCCATATATTTCATGTTATAGCAGTCTGGGATGATGACCCAGCACAATGTTCTTTTTAAGAACGCTTTCTCTGCAGATTTGACAAAACACTAAGAAGGTTTCTAAAGATAGCTACAGCACGTTACCCAAGGTTTAAGAATCTGAAGGGCCCTCCAATATCTGAGAGGGACAAGGTGTGACACATGCTTTCAGAAGTCTTAAAAGAGCAACACTCCGATGTGGAAACTACAGAACCTGAACCACCACCAAAAAAAAAAAAAAAATCTACCTTCTGCTGGTGGCATCTGACTCAAATGATGAAAATGAACATGTGTCCGCACTGCTTTGGATCATTATTGAGCAGAACCTGTCATTGGCATGGAAGCACGTCCTCTGGAACGGTGGTTGAAGCATGAAGGGACATAGGAATCTTTAGCGCATCTGGCACGTAAATATCTTGCAACGCTGGCTACAACAGTACCATGCGAACGCCTGTTCTCATTTTCAGGTGATATTGTAAACAAGAAGCATGCAGCATTATCTCCTGTAAATGTAAACAAACATGTTTGTCTGAGTGATTGGCTGAACAAGAAGTAGGACTGAGTGGACTTGTAGGCTCTAAAGTTTTACATTGTTTTATTTTTGAATGCAGTTTTTTTTGTACATAATTTTACATTTGTAAGTTCAACTTTCATGATAAAGAGATTGCACTACAGTACTTGTATGAATTGAATTGAAAAATAGTATTTTGGTTTTTACAGTGCAAATATTTGTAATAAATAAATATAAAGTGAGCACTGTACACTTTGTATTCTGTGTTGTAATTGAAATCAATATATTTGAAAATGTAGAAGACATCCAAAAATATTTAGAAAAATGGTATTCTATTATTAACAGTGGCAAAGAGTCCTGTGGCACCTTATAGACTAACAGATGTATTGGAGCATAGGCTTTTGTGGGTGAATACTCACTTCGTCAGATGCATGTAGTGGAAATTTCCAGAGGCAGGTGTAACTATGCAAGCAAGAATCAGGCTAGGGATAACGAGGTTAGTTTAATCAGGGAGGATGAGGCCCTCTTCTAGCAGTTGAGGTGTGAACACCAAGGGAGGAGAAACTGCTTTTGTAGTTGGCTAGCCATTCACGGTCTTTGTTTAATCCTGAGCTGATGGTGTCAAATTTGCAAATGAACTGAAGCTCAGCAGTTTCTGTTTGAAGTCTGGTCCTGAAGATTTTTTGCTGCAGGATGGCTACCTTTAAATCTGCTATTGTGTGTCCAGGGAGATTGAAGTGTTCTCCAACAGGTTTTGGTATATTGCCATTCATGGTATCTGATATTATTAACTGTGTGTTCAATTGCGCGGATAATTTTTTTAGTCACACGATTAAGTTTTTTAGTCTCTTGACAGTCCTCATTCGTAGAGGTGTTATACTTTGGATAAGACTTTTATAGAATGGTATTTGTTGCAAGAGTGGGGAAGTTAGCCCTTCTATATTGGCCAAATTCCAGTTTGGATAATTATATTCTTCTTACGCAGATTTTCCCTGAAATTTCAAGAAATTACGTTCTTCCCTGCTTTGCTTGGATGCAGTATTTTTCTTCTCTTAGACTCATAGACATTAAGGTCAGAAGGGACCATTATGATCTAGTCTGACCTCCTGCACAATGCAGGCCACAGAATCTCACCCACCCACTTCTGCAGTAAACCTCTCACCAATGTCTGAGCTATTGAAGTCCTCAAATCATGGTTTAAAGACTTCAAGGTGCAAAATGTCGTGTACTAAAATGATTAATCTTTGGGTCAGGGATCATTATATTTGTACAGTGCAGTTCTCAACTTGCGGCTCAATCAGCACATGTCTGCGGCGCATGTGACGTTCTCAGGTCCATACAGGTAGTATTGGATGAAGCCCACCAGCCCACCATGGTAACTAAGTTGAGAACCACTGATACAGTACTTAGCATACTTAGGCCCCCTGGTTCATGACTGGGGCTACTAGTTGCTACTGCAATATGAATAATAAGTGTTGCTGTATGCTGTTAAACAGCTCCTCTGTTCCATCCCAGGCTGCATTTTGCTTGTGGTTGAAAGGAATTCCTGTGTTTTATATAAAAGTTGGTTAAATATTTTGAGGTCTATCAGGATGAAAAGTCCTATATAAAGTATTTTTGTTACTGTTGTTTTAATAATAATTTCTCTGTCTATTCCATTATTCTGCAGCATTGGAATTTCCTGAAGAAAGTATTTCTTACTGCAGTGTTGCCAATTCACGAGTTTTTATCCTTAGTCTTGCAATATTTACTGTTTTTTTGTAAAGCTCCAACTCTTAGTCAAGTGATATTGTAAGAATCTGTTTTCATTTTAAAATTAAGTTTCTATACTTCACTGTTGCAGAGAAAAGTCTGAAAATGTGACCCAAGCATACACTATACACTCAAGAACCATAAGACATCTAAAAAGAACTCTAAATCTAATATTTTTAAACAATCTCAAGATTTTTAAACCAATCTCTTAATTAATTTTTGGACTGACTCATGATCTTTGAATGCTTGGGCTTAGCAATACTGGAACTGTAAAGAAGTATCTAACCTTTCACTTTCTAAAATAATGGAATCTTTAAGTTGTTTCCCTGAGTCTGCAGATAGTCTGGCTGCTTTGTTTATCACTTTTTCTATACATGTGCTTGAATGGGAGTTTTTTTATAGTGGATTACACTTATCCAAACATGGATAATCTAAAAGCAAGTGGTTACCAAAACCCAAATAGAAAGAGCCATACAGAAACGGACATTGAAGCAACAACGAAAATTCATATGGATATTTTACTTAACTGATATTGTAAAATGCTTTGAAGATGAAAAATGTATTGTAAATGCTTGGTATTCTTAATACTTTTAACTTATTATACTTACAGCCACGTAGGAGCCCCAGTGGCCTTCCTGATTTCTTTACCCCTCCTTGATTTCTCTGCTACTTTGTCCTTACAGACAAACTTCTTGATTGATTTGCTCTTACATTTGTGAAAACAGTCCCCAGTGGCCATCCATTTACTATGGGTCCTAGAATTGAAGGGACAAGTTGGGCTTTGGTAGATTAATCAGTCTTCAGTGTCTTATGCAATATTAGGGGGAAAATCTTTTCAAGCATGATAGTGTTTAATTCAGTGTTTTTTGTGTACCTTTTTTAAAATTTAGATCCACTAGATGGCACTCTGGTTCTTCTTCCAGCAGAGTCACAGCAACGCTTAGTGCAGCTTGTATACTTTCTACCATGTTTACCAACTGACTTACTTTCTTCTCTAAGTCGCTGCTGCATTATGGGAAGAATGTCTTCAGATCTAGCTGCCACCCTCATTGGGATACTGCATGTGAGGTAAAATGTCCATCTATTTAACTATGCTTTTGGGTTTTTTTTAACTTAGCATTATTTTTCTTAAATATCAAGTTATTTTATGCAGTGAGTTTTCGTTCACCATGTCATAATTACACTACTAATTTGTAATTGTTTATAAACATTATAGCAATTTAGCAAGTAAGGTCAGATATCACGTGACCCTGCAGAGCCAGAAATGGGAACTTGATGGTCTTGTCAAAATCACATTCTCAGTTCTTCTCTTTGATCAAGTCCCTCCACAGGTTCCCCCTTAATTTTTCCAGTCTCTTATCTCTGTGTGTTATGATCTGCCCCCTTTGCTCTGCCAGAGATGGCAGCTTCCATTTTCATTTTGTTCGTTTTCCCAATAGGCACATTAACATGCTCTCATTTACGGTGAAACTCTCAGTAATCAGTGTCGTCATATCCTGCCCTTCTTCAAACTCCTTCTTAAGATGAATGTCTACCTTGGTTGCTGTGGTAAATAGCCTAATGATACTGGCCAGACAGATGGCTTATTAATAATTAATCTCTTGTTAATAATTGCTCCTTGCCTTGGAAGATCCTCAGAAATCCAGCTTGAAAGTCATTGGATGAAATCCTGGGCCCATTAAAGTCGATAGGAATATTAATGGAGCCATGTATTTCACCCATTGATATTTTAAAGTGTATCTTTTTATAAGAAGGGTTCCTTCTAGGTGTGAGAAATTTTAGGTAATATTTTTCTATTGCCTATGTGTGCCTCAGTTTCCCCTGTAGGCTACATTTTCTTCTGGGTGGAAAATGACTGTTTGCTCTCAGGGCAGGCTCAGAGACATAGGTACTAATGTTGCCTAGTTGTCTGAGCTTGAGTGGGTCATTGGAAAAGGACTGGCTGAGGTGATAATGGCAAATCCAATCACTAGGACACTGAGTCTAGCAACCAAGGACCCAGAGGGAGATGGATTTCCTCATCTTTCAGCAGGAAGCTGAGCAAACATCCTTCAGCTGGAGAACAAAGGACTAGAGAGGGGTGTGTGTCTGGGGCGGGGGAGAAGAGTTGGCTGCTGGAAGGAGCTGGGGCTATCGCTTGGGATCTGACTGAGGAGGTCAGATGGAGAGACAGACAAAGCTGGAACCATGGGGTTCCCTACAGCTTGGCTGGGCTCGGGGCTAACTAGAATGGTCTGTGCTTTAACCTTTAGTTTTCTATGCTAACCTAAGGACTGTCTATGCTGTGTTCCAGTTGACTAATAAACCCTACTGTTTTGACAATGCTGTTTGAGTGTCACTGCAAATGCTTGGTGAGGTGCACTAATCCCTGAAGAGTGTACAAATCTCTACCAGGAGAGAGTCTCAGTTGGCCTCACTGAACAGAACTTGCAGCGTGACCCTGGAGGTCTGGAGCCACAGATGTTTGGCCACAGGAGGTGGTGAGGCCGTGTGGCCTACCTTAAAGGAAGAGTGAGACCCTTGGGTGTGTGGCACACTGAAGAGTTTCTCCAAGAGACTATCCCGAAACTAGGGGGGGTAGCACCAATGCTGTGGATCTGTAAAGAAGGTATCTTTAAACTTAAATTTGTCTCCCTCTACGGTTGGACGCCAGATAAATAAGCTCGAGGAGAGGATTGAAAAAGTCACACAATTTTTCAAAACGCTCTAAAACTTAAGAAATAGTTTTCCAGTAAAGTGTATGGCGCATAACACAGTGCATAATGGTGGGGTGTGGTATAAAAATTTTATTGGTACTAGTTTAGGAAAATCTGCACAACGTGTTTATGGATTCACCACTAGTGAATAATGCAACCAATGCACAAAATGATGCCAATAAAAATTGTACATACCATGTTATCATGTGTTAAACTATAAGATTAAGGCCCTGTGTAGTTTGTGGCAAGTTAGAAATAAAATTCTGTGGCAAAGCCCATGGCCATATACTAGAGTTCAGTGGCGGCCTCAATTTCAATACATCCTTTCAAATTTGAAATAAATGCAAAAATGATTAATGCAATGGGGACAGTTTTCCTTGTGGTGTTTATTTTGATATTAAATAAAATTTACGTTATGCTGTCTCAATTTTTAAGAGTGCGGCAGATTTTTGTATTAAACGCATTACTGCATTCTGGAAGTTGTCAGGAAGCTGGAGATTTTGGCAGCTGGGTAGGGGACAGTTGGTTCTTTTGGCACCTCAGAAGGCGTGGGAGGTAGTTAAGATTTTTGGCACCCAGGAGGTAGTTAAGACTTTTGGCAGTGGAGAAGTAATGCATCTCATCTGCCCTTCCTCTTTGCAAGCAGAGGCAAAGAGTGATTTTGAATTTGTGGGGGTGGGGGCCAGAAGGGGCGGGCTTTGAACTCCTAGTCTTCTACCCTAGTGATCCGTGACAGCAATCAGCTTGACCCACTGCTCTCCACTCCAGTTTTTCCTACTTCAAACAGCAATTATGAATAAGAACATTAAATAGGATATTTCTGCTTAAAAGGACTAGCAGTGAGCAAGTTAACAAAATTGCCATTTAAATTGTTGTTAGTATGTTGGAATCAACACCCCACTGAGGTGACGGTGACTGACTATGCACATCTTGTTGTTTCAGTCTGTCTGTGGACTCGGGGCCTTGTCTACAACTAGATTTTTTTTTTTTTTTTTTATTAAAATTTCTGATAGTTGCTACTACCAGTAGAGCTCCATGGATGGTAGCAGCAGTGAGAAATCTGCTGTCGACAGACATTTTACCAGTTCGTTGCATAGATCTACTCTGAATAGAGTTAGACAAGATGGTGGTTAAAATATCAGCATCTGGACTACCTCAGAAATCTCACCCTTACTGCCCCCTTGCTGGGGAGTTTTAACAGAAAAAAAAAAAAGAATGCCGATTGGGTAGAGGCAGCCAGAAATAAAACACTGCACTAGTTTACAGTCAGGCCCCATTGAGATGAGTAGCTTACCAAGATTTGAAAATAATTGGGCACTTATGAATAATGAGAACATTCAAAGTTACAGTAATAGAGATTTAATAATTTTTTTTTAGAAGGCATATGAACTCCTGTTTCAGGGCATAAACCAACCTCTAATGGACGGAGGGGCTTGTCTACATGGGAAGTTACACTAGTAAAAGGGTAAAGTATGAATTAAACCAGTGTAACTCCCTGTGAGGGCACTCTCATTCCAGAATAAGAATGCCTTTTCTCGGTTTAGTTAATACTTCAGAAGCAGTTTAAACTGAACTGGAAAAAGACACTAATTGCAGAATGAGTGTCCACAGGGAGTTACACCAATATAACTATGGCGGCTTAAGTATACCAGTATGATCATATCTGTATAACGTCTTGTGCAGACTAGCCCTAAGAAACTTGTCTTGTGGGCAGGTTACTCTATAATTGCCTGTTGCAGCGTTTCTGGCACTTTCCTTTGAAGCATATGGTGTTGTCCGCTCTTAGAAACAGGATAGTATTCTAGGCGAACCATTGTTTTGATCTAATAAGGCAGTTCCTACATTCCCATCTACATAAGGAAAAATCATGGCTGAAAACTGATATCTGCAATAGTTGTTCCCTCTGGAACCATTTTTGAAAATCACGCAACTGCTGGTGTCGATTGAAACAAGCCATTTTCAACTTTGCAACAGAAAACGTGACTGAGCGAAAATTAAAATGTTCTTGTCCCTATGTATGTTACCAATTAAACCTTTTTCAGTATCTGTTCTGAAAGGCCATTGCTGACCTCTGTTTTCATCAGTCAGTTTCCTAATATATATGTATGGTGGGCCTTTGTATTTGGAAAATCAGATGTCAAGAATTATAACATTCATAAACCAGTTGTAGAACACTTCAATCTCTCTGGTCACGCGATTACAGACATGAAAGTTGCGATATTACAACAGAAAAACTTCAAAACCAGACTCCAGTGAGAGAGTGTTGAATTGGAATTAATTTGCAAATTGGATACAATTAACTTAGGCTTGAATAGAGACTGGGAGTGGCTAAGTCATTATGCAAGGTAACCTATTTTCCCTTGTTTTTTCCTTACCCCCCCCCCCCCCCCCCGACATTTTTGTTAAACCCTGGATTTGTGCTGGAAATGGCCCAACTTGATTATCATACACATTGTAAGGAGAGTGATCACTTTAGATAAGCTATTACCAGCAGGAGAGTGGGGTGTGGGGGGAAAAGAAAACCTTTTGTAGTGGTAAACACCCATTTTTTCATGGTTTGTGTGTATAAAAAGATCTTCTGTACTTTCCACAGTATGCATCCGATGAAGTGAGCTGTAGCTCACGAAAGCTCATGCTCAAATAAATTGGTTAGTCTCTAAGATGCCACAAGTACTCCTTGTATTTGGAAAGTTTTCTTTCACAATCAAAAGGGCTAAAAATGTAAGTTTAAAAATTCCAAAACTTTAAAACAGACGGCTGCACAGTTTGGTAACAAGAACTTGGTTCTGCTGCATATTCTGTAGCCACAGAATTCTGGAATACATGTGTTTTGCCTATACAAGTTTATATAAATCAATCCTCCAGATTCTTCAATATGCTGTAGCTGTTGGATTGCCTCTAGATGGCACTGTTTTACTTCTATTCAAATTCTGTTTTGTGGAGAATACTTTTTCATGTACAAGTTTCTTAGTCCAAACCACCTGCCTGTCTGTCAGATACTTCAAATAGATCCTATTCAGCAGCACCGTTGACTCGTCGTTATATTTGATAATTGTTTTTCCTGTCTTAAAAGGGTCTTTCCTTTTAGTTATCCCTACACTGAAAACCACGTTACCTGTATATGTGAGTATATTTGTGTATATATTCCCAGAAACACACGGGTGTATATTCTCAGACAAAACCTATATTAAATTGGCGTTAATATTGAAAGTAAATATTCTGGGTAAAAATTTAGGGTATTATGCTGTCAGAAACAGGATACTTTTCTAGACAGACTACAAATTTAGGGTAAAAATATTACAGGGACGTTGTAATTATCCCCAAAATAAGCATTATAAACCCAGGAATTTAAGAGGTATAGATATTAAACTT